TTCTGCTACTGGAGCATCCTACAGAGGATACAGTAGATTGCCAAGGTCATCTTCTCAAGGTCTGCATGGAAAATGGCATAGAGGAAGCAGCATTCATGGGGAAGGGCCAGACTCTGCCAGCTGGGGAAAAGGGCAGGGGAGATGTGAGTTGGAGGGGACAAAACTGGGCTGAGCAACGCAGGATTATCCCATCTGGACAAGGGAGAGAGTTCTCTGCTCCGGCTGAAGTGCTGAGGGCAAAGTGGATGAACACCAGGCAGACATCTCCGACATTATACAATCAGCCAAAATTACAGATTAGAAACTGCTAAGATGATACACATGCAAAGCGATGGCTTCCTCCTGGGTGCCCATATGGGGGAGAGACTTTAAGTAAAAAGATTTACAGCTTGCAAGGCAAGACTGGCAATCTTTTCCAGGTTGTCAAATTGGCAACTTTTAGTTTATGCTGAAGATGGCATGGAATAAAATAAGGCAAGTTTGGGGGCGGTAGCTGACGACCCAGAGGAGTTAGTTGCCATTCACATCAACTTCTTTTCCCTGGCTGGTGGCAGAGGGATTTTTGATCACAGAGCACAGTCTCCTCTTCATAAATCCAGGGCTGGTTGGGGGCATCGGCTGGTCATCTTGCTTGCTTAGAGGTTATGAAATTCTCATGGGCGCACCAAGAGGCTCTGATAGGGCACTGCACTGCTAAAAACTCCCAGCGTCTTGCTGATTGGTCTTAATAATGAATTGCCCATGGAAAGGACAGATTTAAAACAAAATTAAGACCAACGGTATTCTAGCTAAGCGATGTGCTGGAAAATCGGAGTAAGCAAGATCAGTTTTAGGGCGCTGGGAGTAGCCATTCAAGCTATCGAGTTCAACCCCATTTTGCTCCCACGGTATTCCTTCTTGTCCCCCCACATTACCGCGGCCTGACAGAGTAAAAAACCAACCACGCTACTGAGGTTCAGTTTTTCACTCATGCAAGTTTTGCTTACCATCATTTTACAGTTTACACACAAACCTGTCACTAACTGCTATCAACTGTCATGTTTTTA